ATATATATATATATAAATGGAGGACCTCAGTTTAGCTTGTTTGTCGCGCTAGCAGTCTAGCATTGACAATGCTCTGTGGGTGACGTAAACGGCTCCTCGACACGGTGAGGGACGCATAAATCACGCGACACAACGAATCGATAATGAAATTCGTTGCCAACGCTTTTAGTAATCGATTTTTATCGATTTTGTCGATTCGTTGTTGCAGCCCTAATTAACATCAATTACAAAGACAACAGCGATATCTTTATATTTTTACAGCAGTAGCTGCCCCCCTGCACCACCCCCTGGAGCCACCACTGTCACTGACTCTCAGCTCTTCTCTCCTTCCTTCCAGTGGTTTTCTCCTCCATGACTTCGCTGCAGAAGGAGGAGTTTTTTGACCTGGTGGCCACCGCACAGGCCCGCCGACTGGACGACCAGAGGGCGCAGCTGGGGAGGTCCGCGCCCTCCAAAGCTAAGTCCAGAAGCCTGAGAGGCAGCCTGAGGCAGCTCTCTATCGTGAGAAAGCCCGACCCGGCTCCTGCTCCTCCTGCTCCTGTACCCAAAGAGGAGCTGTACAATATGATTCTCACAACACAAGTAAGTTTGTTCGCGTCAGAGATGATGGTGATTTAAAATAAAACACGTGTTCACTTTTCCCTTTGCTTTGACTCCCAGGCTCAGGGCCGGCTGGAGGACCAGCGCAGCAGGGCTCCTGGTCCCATGGACGACGAGGACTTCTTCTCCCTGCTGCTGAGGGTGCAGGGGGGCCGCATGGACGAGCAGAGGACTGAACTGCCGTGCTTGCTGCAAATCTGAGATGGAAAATCAGAAACCCAACCAGTATTGTAGTCGTTTTGCTTTCATGAAATTTTGTTCAACCTGATGTTCCTTTTTTTTGTTTGTTTGTTTGTTTTTAAGGAAATTGGACACCCCTCCTGTGTGACAGTGTTAAAATACTGTAGCACAAACGCTAACGTTTGAGCAGCAGAGCTTTTAATGTGACTTTAGGACTATTCTCGATAAAACAAGTTTACTTTTATTTAGTTTTTTTTTTGTTTTTTGTTTTTCCTAACAAATCAGATCAGTAGATATGCGTTCTTGCTTGAAGATGTTTTTTTTCTGAATGTTTGCAGTGAGTTCCTGTAATGGCTGCTGTGTGTCTTTGATGTGGAGGAGGCAGTCTACTGATCTCTGTTCTCCTTATTTGTACAGTAAAGTGATCAAACATGTGGGGGCTGCTGATGAGGAGATGTTGTAGCTTCAAATCTGTTTGAACTCTGTCTTTTAGAATAAACTAAATGTGTATTTAAGCTATTTAGGTTTCTCAGTTTGTGATTCTTTTCTCCAAAATATCAAGAAACTTGGATTTAAAAAGCTAATTTTGTCATATATACCTGGCGAACACTGCGATACGAGAGAAAACCTTAGATGCTATTAGATTATGGCAGAACGATGGTGAGAAACTGGTTCTGTTTATCGTTAACAATCATCTCTGCCTCGCCACGTTTCCTTTAACTCGTGATAAAGTTTCTCTTGAAAAAAACTCAGCGTCACATAAATCAGACTGCTTCAGCAGAACATTTGATGCCCTGTTTAAGGAACAAATACTGCAAAGATAAAGATGTTAATGTGTTACAGAAAGAAGGGCTGTTATCTCGGACTTCCTGATTTTTACATTAGTTTATTTCTTACATCTACACTCGTATAAATAACTCGTAAAATTCATACAGAAAATGTTTTATCGTATGTTAACTTTGCCCAACACAACATGTTATCCCTGGAGTTTAAAATCTTTACTGTTTTGAACAACGTGACTCATCACAAACCACCATCCAGTTGTCATGGTCGAGACATTAAGTGCAGCAAAGACCTTGTTGTGTCAGCAGCTCCGGGGCTTTGGTGGAAACCTGTGACCTACTCCGGTGTGTGTTTTGTCCACTCAGCTCAGAGGAAGCCTCTCTGATGGCAGAGGTGACAGCAGCTGTGTCACTTCCTCACTGTGAGGCATCAGCTCTCTGATCAGCACCAGAGCTGTTGGTGAAGAGGAACAACGCAACAAGCAGCAAACACAACAAACAAGCAGCGGTACATTTCACCAGAGTTATGAAACAGGAAGATGAGCCGGCTGCCTCGTCAGCTGCAACTTCCACTTTTAGGTCGGGAGTGTGCAAAAAGGTTTTTCTGAAAAGAGTAGAACGTCACATGTTTGGTGAAATTAAAAACATCAGTTTGTTGCTCCAGCAGGAGGAAGATTTTATTCTAGATTTCTTAAACTATATAATTTAGAGCTTTTTTTCTGATTTTTTTAACCGTTGCTTTTTAAAACTCGCATTATGTATAAACAATCAATAAAAACAATGTTTAAAGCTGATTTAACATTATTTTTTATGTAAATTTTAGTTTCTCATTCTCTACTACACTTACAACACAATGTTTAAAAATCACTGTTATTTATACGTGTCTAATAT